ACTTACAATGAATGAGGAAAAGCATTACACCATGGAGCTCTTGCGTGAACCTTCAGCAGTCGAATGAGTGCCGCAGTGTCACGACAACTCTTGACTTCATTCAACCGGCTAAAAATGAAATTGGAGATGAACTGGTTGCGAGTGACTCGAGTCAATTGGTTTGGGGCCACGCAGTATGGAGACAACTCCAGATAAGCAGCTAATCCTGAGCAACGTTGAATATCGCTTAATTTAAAGAACAAAAGCAGAAAGGTTCCTTGAACCAAGACAACCAGACTCCGAAAATGAGCACATCAACAAAAAGGGTAAGAAAAACGGTGAAACTTACGACAAGAACGACCACGAGCGACCCAGAACAATCGTTTCTGCCCATCCACAAGCGACGTATAGCTCGTTGACCTGGGTAAAACAAAGTCACAACCGGTGAGCACAAAAAAAGTGTAAGGTAAAGCACTGCGCCTGTTGGAGCGAGAAAAAGTAAGTTTCATCTGAAAGGGTTGACGCAATGACGGTCGGAATCATCTGGGCTGCGTCCAGCGAAAAACCACGGGGAAGAAAATATAAAAACCTGCTAGTTGGACTAGGCAATTAGACACCAAGAGTTTTCCAGGAAATGCAGGATAGAGAAGGAGGAAAGCCGCAGTTTCGGATCAATAGATCAGTTGTAGACGTGACCGTGATAGAGTCACGTACCTATTTCCGGTGAATCTCCGCATGAACCTAATAGTAATACTCGGTAAGACTCGATAGACCGTAACTTTCAGCCGATACAGTCTAACGTTAGGATCACCACAGCGCGGGTGCCGTTGCTAAGTTCCGAAACCGGCGTTCGCCAGTCGGGCCGTGTAACAATCCTATCCAATCCGAAACCTGACGATGAAGATCCGGCGGAACACGGGGAAAGTTAGCATGACTCGTGTGGAACTCAAACTGATCATGATGGCTCGCTCTTAAGGCACTGACTTTCTCCCCATAGTTGCCTCAATCTTGCAGTTAGCTCTCTTGATCCATCTCAATGCCAACTCAACCCGTTAGAGGGGTAAGGATGATCCACCTTGGCTTACTACTAGTAGGGCCATTGACTTCTATTCGTAGTTTGCACGATCCCCGTTTACGGATGTTCAAGTTGCGTACAGTCATCTGACCTCAAGTATAACTCATGGGGACGACCCAGGGTCAACTTTTTATGTGTTCTACCTGCCGGCCTCTCCGAGTATTTGCTACCCAAGCGTCACTGGAGGATCATTATCGCGAGAAGGCTAGTCACCCCAAATGCCCCCGCTGCCCTAAAGGTTTCGTGGACGCGACCAGTCGAGAGGAGGTGGGTGGACTGTAGGCTTACCGACCTACGTAGCTGACCCAGACAGCACTTTCTTTCCGCTCATAAAAGGACCAAGTGCGTGTGTGGAAGATCCGTCTTCGAGGACCAACTGGAGATCCATCACTTGAACTCTTTATTTCATTCAATTTGCCTTCTTTGTTCCCCCAAACTTTGCTTTCTAACTGATGCAGAAGTCCGAGTAGTAAGTTTTTTTCTAGGGTCACTGCGGCTCTCAACTTAATCTTTTCACTCAAGCACTGTCGGGAAGTCCACGCCGAGTCTCACTGTGTGCGATGTGGACTACAGTTTTTGACCAGTCGCAGCCTGCAAGCACATTTCCATAGGTCCTGGAGACACCCAAATTGTCGATTGTGTCACCTTGGGTTCAGTAATGAGGATAGTCACCATCAGGCTAGCTTCAAACTAAGTGTAAACTCGGGCCTTTCTCTGACGTTCAGCTCAGCATATGATTGACCGACACCAATGTTGGGGGTACCAATGGACTCAGAGCCATCCTGCGTCGCTTCCACCTCCTGGGGCGAAAGAGACCGAATTATGGTACCAAACCAAGGTAGCGTGGCAATAGGACGTTGTCGGTGGATTCTGACTGCACATTGACTCGCCAGAACATCCAGGCTATCCCCAGAACTGTCGTGCAAACCGATGAAGAGAATACCCATGCACCCGAGCTACGGAGTATCCAATCGGAACGGCCCAGGCTATTTCACCTTCTGTTTAAATTGCCAGCTACGTAGTCAGTCGGTCGACAGTTTCTCATATGCGTTCCCGTACCATCAAGGTCGTGCACAGTTGGATTCTATAGTATTTTGGGACCTACGATCTATATAGTCTGAGACTAGAAGGACTACTGTCGCTGGTTGAATCAAATAATAACCGGCGAATATGAGGCCATTCCATCCGAGTCTCTTGCAAACCGTTGGTCGGGACATGATGAACGATGACCGGTGACCATCTCCAGATTCTCCACCGAATCGACCCCCCACTTTAACGTACGATATTGGCTCTGAGCAATCCCGAGATCAAGATGAGCTCGTGGCAAGTCGGGCCAAAGTCGTCTCGCTGTTGCGGAAGGCGAAGGGGTGGGATGGCGTGGTGCTTGGGGATAATGGGGCGACATCGGAGCCAAGGAGGTTAGGTCCCGCGCAGGGTCTGGCGTCGAGGTGCAGGAATCGTTTTTCCTGATCTTTCTGATACTGACCTGTGTTCGCAGTGCTTCGACGACTAGTCCTGTGCTCCAAGAGAAGGTGAGCCGTGGCTAAGAACGTAGTGGTTGGTTCCTGACAGCTCGGTAGGCAGCTATGTATACCCGCAGTTGCTTACGTCGCTTCCAAAAACCACCCGACTGCGACTAGCTTGCGTCTTGGAATGATCTCCGACACGCACTGACTCGAATTTCTGGTCCTGCGTAAGGAGGTCCTTGAACCAGGCGTCTCGTTACCAGAATCGCTTGCTGCTAAGTACCAACGTCTTACACGAAGCCCCGGAGTTTGGATTAACTAGAGGTGCAAATAAGCACGAGATGGACGATCTGAGGCGACAAACCCCAAATGCAAATCGCCAAGGCGAGGGGTGCCCACGGATAAGTGCGTGTCGAGAAAGAGGTGGTTGTGGCGAAAGTTGTCGAGTGTGGAACCGAGATGGGATGCGGGCGCGACCGAAGAGGCTTAAATGGAGGCCGCGACGTTGCCTCTAATTACGACTGCCCTAACTTGAGACCCGTTTTCCCGACATCGTCGGCATCGTCCGTTCCCGTGGTCTTGTGCGAATTTTTTTTCGGAGGGGGGGGAGTGGAGGTCGTAAAGGGGGGAAACGTGGGCATAGACCATGAGCAAAGTTATTTAGCATTGCTCATGGATCGCCGAGCTAGTTTTGGGTATTCGGTGTTTTGGGATTCGGACAGCGCGAGATTGGCGGAGGGATGGGGTTAATATCCAGCTTGCGGCAACGCTTTCGGTGGGGAACCTGGCTTTGATGAGAACGCCAAGGCCTTCTTCATCGTTGATGGGACGCTGACTTGATGAGTTTACGGCCGCTTTGTCAAAGTTGTTTTCGTTTATTCAAATTATTGCGCGGCAGGACCGAGCTGTCGCTTGGTTGAGCCGGGGCAGAGTAAGCCGCATGCCGCTTATACGTTTGTCGATAGTGCCGTTCGTGAGCTGGTGCGGGCCGAGCAATGGATTCACTTGTAGTAGGCATGAGTTGTCGTTGGCATGTAGTGGGTCATTGGCATTCAAGGGCCTGCGGGCCGTCAGGCAGCGCCATGGAGGTTGAACCCATCGTCGGCAACGAGCAGTGGATCGGCTACTGGAGCCAATCACTGGCAGGGCCCGTCACTCGCCTTTTCTTCCCCGACTTTCATGCGGATCTCATGTCGCTGCACAACCGGTCGAAAAGGATCACCCTGCACGTATATCTTCCATCTTACCCAGCGAAATTATACCAGTGGCCCAGATATACGAGTTTGGAAGGGCAAGTAATGGTGCGGGAGCCGCAGGGAGGGTCGTGCATCATCGTTTGAAGCACGAACTTGGAGCACCTGGTGTGACGTCCTAGATGGTCTTCCCCCCGCGTGTGTCACTGTCTAAAATGCTTTATTTTGGCTTACAATCCCAAGGCTTGTCCACTTGCAGTCATCAAGTTCGGGATATTTGGATCTGAGCAACCATCGCCTCGTCAGGAACCAAGTAGTGCCCTGGGAAGCGATACATATCCCATTGCCGACGCAGAGAGGAAGACTGGATTGCTTGACGGGAAGACATCCATGCGCGGAAGGGGTCTTGGAAGTTCTGTGGTTGTTTCCTCTCAACCCTAGACGCCAATCCAGGAGCGTAGAACCCACTGAAGCTTGATACTGACGTGACATTCGCTCCGAACGTCCTCCAACGGCTTTGCTTCAACAGTAGCGCGCGACCCACTCAACTTGTGTGCTTCATTGACTTTCCTGCTTCCCGAATGTCGCTCGCCACCACCGAATCGACCTTAATGCACTCGCCGCTTGCTGTGAGCTCTCCGGCCTTGCGCAAATTCAATATCAAAATGCTTCTTCACATACGCCTATTCCTCGTCCCCGCTCGCATTGACCACTCGATTTCCATCTCTGAAAATGTGCTCTCACTGTGTTTTCTACAACGAGTACATATATATGGGTTCCTGTGGCATCCATATGGTTGCGTTTCTCGTTGGCCCGAGCACCGCTACCAGTCGTTCCGCAACCGACACGAATGGCTGGAGTCTCATCTCTCGGACAAATCATCGCAAGACATCAGGGAGGTCGTGAGGGAGGTAGTTGGCGAGTTTGGCTGCGAAGTCCCGCCCAAACTAGGCTGTCATCCGCCACGCAGTGCCCAAAAGGTCATTTTGGTCCCGAAGCACAACAGATCACTCACTTCGCTGAATTGCCTGAAACGCGATATGGGACTCTCTTTGTCAACCTTTTCGAACAGCTCCACACTTGACATCCAACAGGCGGCTGCAGTCGTTTATTCAGAGCCTTGTCGTCATCATCGCCTTCGATACGCTTGTTGCACCTGTTACTGCAACCATCTAGTTCATAACCTCCACTATTCACATCCCGTCGTCTGTTCTAATCTTCAAGAGTAGAGTAAACTGGGCAATATAATGACAAATGATTTTTGTGTGACGCTGAATCAATCACGTTATGTACTCTGCCACCAGCCCGACTCCCCTCCTCGCTCTGGCTTCTTGGCCGTCTTCCGCCACCAAATGTTGCTCGCCATGGCATTCTATAAGAAGGAGGACGAAAGCGCTTCCGGGCTGAGCTCGTACCCTAGCAATCAAACGACCATCATCCAGGAAGCCCTCGTCTTCAGCGAAGCTCCAATCAGCCCCCCGCAAATGTCGAGCGCTGCTTACGCGCATCGTGTATCTCCTATACGTGGGCGAGAACTTCAACACACAAGAGGCTACTACTCTCTTGTTCGGCGCTACTAAGCTATTCCAGCCTAAAGATGTAAGCAGTGTCCCAGGCATGTTTTCGGACCATATAACTAATCTGGATCTCCAGAGCGCCCTGCGGCAGGCGGTATACCTGACCATTAAGGAACTCGCAACGACCACGGAAAATGTCATAAGGCTACCGAGCAGCATCCAAAAAGACATGCAACCCAACGCGGAGGTTATCTATCGGCCCAATGCCATTCGGGCCCTTTGCCATATCATCGACGTGCGTTGATTCGTTATATCTCTATATTTTCAGATGCTGAGCACGAAAAATAGCCTTCTATGGCTCAAGGTGTCCAACGGTTTTTCAAAGCTGTCATCGTCGACCGAAACCCTTCCATTTCATCTGCTTCGTTGATCTTGGTATACCATATGCTCCCGCAAGCTAAGGGCGTCGTTAAGCGCTGAGTTCATGAAGCGGAAGAGGCCGTGAACGTTACAGCCGGTGGCTACTTTAGACCCTCAGTAACGGGCGGAGGTTTCTTGGGCAGCGGGAGCCAAAGTAACGCACAGACCGTACCTTTCTCCAGCAATACCATGCGCTCGGACCGCTCTATCTTATTCGGCGACAAGACTGCATGGCTGTTGCAATAATGGTTCAACAACTTGGTGGGGGAATCCGGCTCGGGAACGACGTTGAAAAATGCCATGGCGTTGTCTATGCTCATTCGATATGCGGCCAATGTCATGGCAGAGGATCCCAAGTGCGTTACTCTTCGCCGTCAAACTGGGTACAAGCTGATTTTTTTTGGCAGCCAAATAGTTGAGCTGCTTGAATGCTGGCCCAGGCATAAGAGCGACATGGCCAACTTTGAAGCGGGTTGTGTTCTCCGTGAAATGAAGAATGACGCACCCGCTCAACTGACCCAGTCGATAGCTGGCAAGACTTGCAATTTTCTATTTGTTTGTTTGCTAATGCATTTTAGTTCTCCCACTGTCTTCTCCCAAGCCTGTTCTTCAATTCTCCGCTACTTGAACGCTTGCTGCTCTCTCGCCGTCACCCATCCGCCGCTTGCAATGTTGATCTCGAAAGTCTCATCGCAGACCAGAACCGCAGCGTTGCTACCTATGACATCACTACTACTCTGCTCCAGGTATCATTGCATTCATATTTGACTTCTTGTTCTTATATTTTCTCATAATAGACTGGTCACGAAGCCTCTGTCGACTGTCTCATCAAACAGATGATTACCAGCTTCATGTCCGAAATCCGCAAATCATTGTCGGCGCCGTCCGCTCTCTTTTGCCACGCAATCCCTGCCAAGCACGCCGCTATACCCAATTTCCTTTCTGGTGTCCTTCGCGACGAGGGTGGCTATGGTTTTAAACGTTAACGCGCGGTTGTTGAAGCCATCTTCGATATGATCAAATTCATCAGCGAGTGCAAGGAGTAAGCGCTGTCGCATCGCCGCGAGGTCATTGGGGATTGCGAGTTTACAAAACTCTCTATTCGCATCCTTTACTTGCTCGGTCTCAAGGGGCCCAAAGCTTCCCAACCCGCCAAATTCATTCGTTTCATCTGCTATCGCGTTGTCCTGGAAATGCGGCCGTGCGAGCTGCCGCTGTGTCCAGCTTGGCCAAATTTGGCCTCAATTTCAACCGCGAGGCCCTTAACCAAAGTGTTGGTGTCCTTTCTAGACGGTCTGTGTTTGAATGTGTTGTCTGATTTTTTCACTAAGACACTTACAGATGTCTTGATGACGTCGATGATGAAGTTCGCGACCGTGCTGCTATGTACCTCAAGGTATTCAGGAAGCAAACCCTTGCCGAACCACACGTGAAGGATGGTTTGTCTTTGGCTGCTTTGGAGTCGAAGCATGTTGCCTACGTCAAGGATTCTGCTGCTTCTGCACAAGCGTTTGAAGTTTCTGGTACTCCTCAAGATCAGCCATGCTCAAACCACCGCCGGCGAGGTTGCCCGTAAGTTTATCATATCGTTCGTTTGTGATTTACTAATCTCTGGCATAGGACCCAGCTCATTGGATAACTGGTGTTCCGTCTACTCAAACTAGGCCATCCACCAACTACAGCGGAGACTCAAAGTACATACGCGGAACAAATTGCCACTGTCCCGTCGTCCGAGCCTTCTGGAGCTGTGCTTAATAACCGCAACCCGGCTTGCTGAGCTCTCGGAAAGCGAGACCAAGTTTACCTGCGTCCAAACACATTTTCAAAGAGCACTTTGTCTTCCAGGTGAGCTATTTTCACGCTTTTTACGATGCTTTGTTAATTCAGTCCTAGTTCAATGTCTCGAACACGATCCCAGACGCCAACAGGTTACGCTGACGATGGCCACACCTGAGGATTTTGGTCTTAGAAAGGACTTTATTCTCCCTATTCCCAGCCTGACTACGACAAGTTCATCTGGAATAACTTACGTCTCGTTCGCAAGGGCTTGCCCACGGATTATGCGACTGCTTCGTTCTCTGGTACCTTTCAATTTGTCAGCAAGGCGCTTGATCCGACAACTGGTAAGCCTGAAGACGAATATCCGCTGGAGGAGGTCGAGCTTAGCGCGGGCGGGGACTACCTCGTTCCTTCATATGCTTCGTTCGGCTCCGAATGGGATCGGATGAAGGGCGGGCCGAGTGTGATAAACCTGGGAGCGGCCGTGGACCGTCTGAAGGGTGCGTGTTATCCTAGTTTGTCGTCGACTTTTCATTGAAGTCGCTATTGCAGCTACCTGCGACTTGATCATCGAGGTACTCGCCCTGGAACCCTTGGGCGGGACAGAGCCGAATGATGTTCTCGTAGGGTAAGATATCGGCTGACATGTATTCCTATTAATAAAGCCGGCAGATGGCTCAACTTCATCTCCGTTCGGGCCTTCTATTGGTGTGTCCTTGGATACTTCTTTGGATACCCGTTTGAGTTCACGGACCAAAAGGTGACGTGGGAATCTGCATAGCCACCTTGGTCCGCCTTCCTTCCTCTGGCCCCGGTTGAGATATATAGGCTCGAAGGATTGCGGTTCTCCACCTCTTTCACATATTCGGCTCCAGTATGAATGCTTCCCCCATCACACCTCTCCCCATCGAAACTGGTTTCCCCCCCCCGCGAAGCCGGAGGTAGATCTGCTCGTCTGCCCTGCTCCTGCGGACGTATCCGGTCTCACCCGTTCTTTCCTCTCTTAATTTTGCGCTAAATTTTCTTCTAGAACCTCAAATCGCCCGTGCTTCGAGTCCGCGCTCCGAATGCTTGAGTATTTTCGAACTTTTAGGCTTGATCCTGGGTGCAGATCTTAAACCCGAAGTGCCTGGTTCTTGGCGGAGCGATGCCAAGCGAAAGGGCGAACTCCGACTCGTTTGTCGCTTCTGGCGGCAGACCCTCGACGAGACCCCGTTCCTGTGGTCCCAGCTTATTCTCGTGCCTCAAATGCGGGGACCTTATCTAACCCGGGTCTTTTGGAACGCGAAATCCACCCCTAAACATGTCGGCCTCAGCCTCGTTCCCGACTCTACCGACGCGCTCTCCCCAGTCAACCCCAACTTCTCGGCTCAAATGGCTCAACTCATCGCCGCCTGTGCGCCTACCATTACGCATTTGTGTGTCCAGTATGGGACTCATGTCGACTGGAACTCCTTTATGCGGGATATTGAAGCCCATGGTCTGGCGCCGGAGGGCCTGGTCTCTCTGCGTCATTTCTGCGCTACCACCGTTGGACCTCCCAGCCGACGAAAATGACCCTCCAGCTAATTCCTTTCTTGCTCTCCCTCCCACCTTACGCTTCCTGCATCTTGAAGCCATGCCGGTTTCTTCGATTGTGCCCAATCTGACCCGGAACCTGGTCTCACTCGCGCTGGCAAGTTTAGACGTTGCTCATGGGGCCATGCACTCGCATACGTTTATTCCTGAGCTGTTGGAGGTTCTTCGGCATGCAGTAAATCTGACGATGCTCATGCTGGGTGATGTGGATGAGTTTGAAGGGCGAAGCAGCGAGGTCACTCTCCCGGAGCTGCTCAGCCTTTCTTTCGTTTGCCATGTACCTTGGCCTCATCGGTGTGGCTCCTTGATGTCCCTTCTTCAAACTCCTAAACTCCAGATGCTATCTTTGGGCTTGTCCAATAAGCTCTACACTCGCAGTGTTGTGGCTCTTAATGCGCCCAAATTTGCGGTGAACAAGATTCTGCATCTGGCCGGCGATTTGTCGTCTTATGTGGAAAGCTCTATTCGAGGTTCTACGCTTATTTCCGGCCTGATGGGGCCCAAACTCCAACACGTCGACCTTCTCGATCTGGAAGGCCTCTTCACTTACGACGCGGCCCAAGGAATTTTGAACCAAACTATCTTCTTCGACGTTCTATACCACGTTTTCTCACTGCCAACCCTTCGGCTCGTTGCCGTGCCTCGTTTTCTCTCGTTTGTGTCCCAGGAAACCCTAGAGCGTTTGCTCTCGTACCTTTTCCGGCTTACGATGGGACGCACGGTACAAATGGTAGAGCAACATGCCACCTGCCCATTCTGGGCTTTCAACCGGCAAGATCATTCTACCTGTGGTCGAATATGGTCCTGGGATGAAGTAGAGAGTAAGCCCGTAGGTCGGGAGTTTTCTAGTGTCGTTCGGCCCGCGCTGGTTGGCGCTTTCCAATTTACTCCTGTGATTTACTTGTAAATACTTCCATAAAATGCCTAGTGGTGTACCAAGCCTATTCTTGAGCGTTTGGGCCCCCCAAATTGACCGTCCTTAAGACCTACGTGACACATCATGTGATGCGACGCGTCATGTCACATTCCTGTCACATCTTTGTTGACTTTTCCCACCCTCTCTCCTTAAAAGTTAGCCGTGCCCTTGTCACTTTCCTTCCTCCCCCCATAGCCTGAAGCGTTCCAGCAGTAGCTCTCAGCGCAAGTCAACCCTCTGGGTTGACAGGTTCGGTCTTAGTACTGGGACCTTGGCTTGGGTTTGCTCTTATCCTTCCTCTCTCTCTCCCTCGCGCTTCGTCCCTTGCTTCGTCCTTGCTTCTCCCTTCTTGGGTCTCTCCCCTCTTAGGCTTGAGCCCTACCTACACGCTCTCCTGGGTTAATACCGGGTCTTCTACCCGCTCCTGGCTTAATCCGCGTTCCCCTATTGGTTCGGCTTATATTCTTGCCATTCCGTCTTCTACTGCCCCTTTCTTATCTATCCTAAAGTTCCTCGTCTTTTCCCCCTTCTCCCATCCAACCTTCGCTAATCCAACCCATCCACGCGTCTGCTTGGGTCGCTTCCGCTGGGGTACTAACTTCGTACGAGTAGAGGGTTGCCGGTCCCCCCTCATGGTCTGGTGCCGCCCATAGATCCGGAGCCCGCGTGGGGAGGCTTGGGCGCGCCTGCTGAAGGTCTAACGCGCTTCTTGGCTCGGTTGCCCATGGGTTGACGGTAGACTCGATACTGGTTAGGGTCCAGTAGTTCCTGAGTTTCTGCATTTGAACTCGTACTATTTACGGGTCTGGCCACTTACTTGCAGGCTACCTTTCCATCATCCCGCCTTTCGAATTTGGGTGGGTAGCGTAGCTTGGCTTGAGTCAACCATGGCACTAGTTCTGGCCGGTGTAAGTCGGCCGTGTTCTGAGTTTCACTGAGGAATGAAAATATGGGAGATTGACGGGGCTCACCTGGTTGAGCTGATGGTCCTCGTAATCCGCTTCGGTGTAGTATGCTACAATCCGGTATTCCAATCCGTCTACCACTAGGGAAATCGTCTGCCAATGTATAAGCCAGTGGCCCGTGACGATGGATTCATCTTCTACTTACTTTCTTGATCAAACCTTCCCTTTTCAAAATGGGGTCCTCCACTTCCGTGATCGCCAGTTCCGAAGTCCTAAAACTATCCTCGGGGAGGAGATTTCTGAGGACCGCTCAGCGTATGCGACGTGCACCTTTCTTAGACTCTTTACCTATGTAGCTTGGCGGCGACCGGGTCAGTTTCGTGGTACATCTGTCCGGGTTAAAAGTCGTGGAGGCGATAGAATCAAGGCGCACCATGAAGTTCCCCATGGCTCGCGAAGAGGTCCAGGTCAGACCGTCTACGCTGAATCAGAGATGTAGTAGATTTCTGTACTACTTACCGGTCCAACGAGTAATCTTACTCTCTTGCAAATTAAAAATGAACACGGCCCCGCTGCGAATCCAACTTTTCCGTACTTGTGTAGGCAGGCGTCGGGTTATTCTGGGAATCTGGCCACTTCGGGCTGCCTCTATAATGACGGCTGCATCCAAAGTGTTCTTGACTATCCCGTAGAAGGGTCCGTGAGTCGAAACCATTGGCATGAAAGGCTTGAGACAAGTAAGTTAACCGGAAGTGATGTTGACGCCTTTGATAATATGAGGTCATGCCAGTGATGCCACCTGCCACCGACCGAGTCACCGAGTCAAAAAACGGGCATCACATTGATGGCTGATTGGATTGAGCGTTGGTCCTCCATCTCTCGTGTAGATATCGGCTAGAATCTGAAGCGTCGGCCTGTAGTATAGGCCTAAGTATGGTATGGTTCTTTCGAACTTGTAGGTGGGCCAGGATCGGAGTGAAAGTAGGCGAAACCGGGTTAGTATATTCTGTAACGTGCACCGTAGAGTTTAATTATAGTAACGAGAGCGTTCCTCTTTATTGCGCTCATTATGTCTTATATTCCCCCTACCTCTGGTACCGCGCCTGTGGCTCTCTGCCCTCCCAATCTTCAAGCACCAGCCCGGGCCAAAATTGCTTGTGAGCTATGTCGGAAGCGAAAACGTCGTGTAAGTCGCTGGCAAGCTTCCTCCCTAGGTTGTGGGCACTCACTCTCCTAGTGCCATCCCAATCCTCTAGGTTCCTCCAGTTACCAGGAGTCGCTACAGCCATCTATCCCATGTGGGACCTGCCTCAAGTTCAATCAAGCGCACGCTTGCACTTATGAGCCTGTCAATACGGTGAGCTTTTGTCACTCTAAAAGGCTGCAAGTCTTTCCTCTCTACTCCTGCTTATATGTTCCAGGGTAAACGGAGGAAACAAGCTGCTTATGGGGCCAGTATCC